AATACCAAAAAGTCTTGCCGAAATACAAAAAGGGCTTGCATAAGGTTTTGCGGATCTAGCTTAACATATATGAAGCTAATAAGTATTAATAAATGTAATTAATTGGTCAATAATTCATATGACAAATAAAAGAGGAGACCTAATCCTTTATAAGTAACCATTTTTTACGTTTAGTTCGTGATTGTAATATGTAAAGTTCCAATCCAGATAAATCCACCATCCATTTATCCGTATCTGAATTTATACAGATATCCATTTACTATTGATATTCAGATAATCCGGCAAATATTCGGATAATTATCCGGATATCAATAGTAAAACAGATATCCGAATAAATTCAGATCCTGAATATCCGATAGATAAATGGATAAACAGATAATGGATCGGAACTTTAGTGATATACAATTTATCTATACATTAACGTTAAAAATTTTGAAGTTATGGGTTAGACCAACATACTGCAGATGACATGGTGATTATTAGTGATTAGTAATGTGGTGGAATCTTCCCAATGATAGTTATAACATTATCGTAACTCGCTATAGTAGAGGTTTTTAATTTTTCATAGAGTTCCAATCCGGATAAATCGATCATCCATTTACCGTATCCTATCGTAAATAAGCACCCCATATAACTAAAATTGTTAATCATGAATAAGACCCTTGTGACTTAATTGTATGGTCTCGAGTGTTCGATATTCAAAAATTTTGAAATTACAGTAGGTTGGTTGGTGGATCATGAAATTTTAGATTGCTGAATTTATCCGGATCTAGGCATCCGATAGATAAATGGATAAACAGATAATGAAATATAATTTCTTGCTAAAATAATATATTTTAATTATCATTTCTTATAAATCTTATTGCATTTAATATTATTGAAATCCTGCGTGGGATCAAAAAAAAATCCACGCATTCCGCGCGAGATCCCGCGCGTGGCCCCATCACTAATGACACCTAAAACGTACCCGATCCATATGTAGTATGAATTCGTTTTCATATTGTATTCATTAGATTAGCGTTAAATAAGAGCAGTATCAATCGTGAATTTGCCCCTATTTTCTTTATTATATCATATTTATTTTATTTAATAAAGTTTCCCGTGTCTTCATACACGTTAAATTTTAATCATTCTTGTTAAGAGTCGTAACTAGGGATTCTCATTGTCTGCTGCGATAGACCTAGTGATGGGCAGATCGCAGTTTTTTAAAAATCTCGCGCGTTCCACGCGGATTCCGCGGAATATAGTAGTTTTTTTTTAATTTTTCATGAATTATAAAAATATTATAAAGATTATCACTAGAAATATAATTTCTTGTTATAAACAAAAAGTTCTACGTAGAAATACATACGCATTAATTTTATGTATATTGTGAGCCCGATTTTCGGGGTCACAGGTGACCGAATCGAAACGACGATCCTAACCCGATTCGAGGTCACACGAAAGTGACGGAAATGTCACTTATGTTACTTACGTCGCTTCTGCGACTTCGCCTACATATGAGTTAAACGAAATATTAGCGTTTTATTAGATTTAGTTAGGATATAGAGTATAAGAAATATATTGCGTTTAAGAGAGAAATTAACTGCAAATGTAAACAAAACGTTTATTATAAATAAAGGGCATTTTTGCCTTGGGAGAAAAATAATTCCCGCCTTCCTAACAACAAATTCCCTAATAACAAATAAATACCCGACCCCTAATAAAAGTGAAAGCCCATCCTACATAACTAATAAACCATCGTTAACTCCCATTGTTACCCCTATCGTTCATTTAAATAAATCCCTAAACTCGCAAGTTGATCGCTCGCCGCAAGTCACGTGACAGACCGTTAACGTTATAGAAGAGTTCCAACCCCGATTCGACGAAGAGTAATCCCGGGTTGAGGCATAGAAGAGAAGATAAAGAGTTAGTAGAAGAATAGATTGCAGGAAAGACCTAGAGAGAAGAAGAGTACTTACCTACGGATAAACCACCCAGCCAAATCTAACACGCCTATTTCGACTTAGCCGCCGTAGGTTACGCGAGGCTTGGATTAGTTTAGCGACAGACTCGCCGATTTGCGAATCACAATATCAATTACTAATTAGAAATTGGCCCATCAATGTTAATACAGGCCGGATGGTATTTAATGCAGGCCAGATGATATGCCAATGCAGGCCAAATAGTCTCATTAAAAATTCTGCGCGGGATCCAAGAAAAATAAAAAAATTCCGGGCATCCCGCGCGTGGCCCATTACTAGATAAACCCCAAATTCTGCCTGCTTTACAAATCAGTTTAAAAATAGCATTTGAGTATATAAAATTAGCATACTATATTTATAATATATTATGTATAAAATAGTCTGGAAGAACATTATCGATTATGGCTAGAAGGGCATAAATTTTTGTCCCTCATCGAGGTGGTGTTCTAACGAAACTACGGAAAATAATTATGGGTATTCTGCCTCTCCTGCTTTGTGTCAACATCCAAGCATAGCGCAGAATTTAAAAAGCATCGATAAAAAGTGCAGATTAATATTACGTTCTACCCGTCAGATCATATCTACCCGAGCGTCTGCAGTTACGTAAATATTATTTCTTTTTCTTTGTGACTGTCGTCCTGACAGGCCACCCACTAAAAATCGAACTAAAGATTTGACTGTCGTCCCAACAGGCCACCTAACTAATGCTAAAACTTTGCTTGTCGTTCGACAGGTCAAGCCCTGTTAAGATCCAAAGAATTCTCACGAGATTTGGTTAGACATACATAAGGGTGGGTAAGGGTGAAACGAAAAAAAACAGAAAATGTCGGATTAGCAGAAAAAACAGAAGTTATCGTATTTAGAAGAAAACCCGTCTCCTTAAATATGATCCATCGATTACAAATCAAAATACTAATCAAAATACTACGTAATTACGTCGTTACTATGCTAAACTTTAACGACGTAATTACGTCTATACTATAATAAACTCTACCGATAAACTCTAATCAATCACCGATCGTAATTATTACATGGTTACGTAACCTTATCGATAGGTCTAACAAATACTATCGACAATCACTACGTAATTTTATAACTATTACCTCACATGATCTTACTAATAATCGTTCGATTGAGAGTTCACTCTCCGTGGTCGATTCGAGACAAAATGCTGCTCCGATACTCTCGTATCTGGCAGCTAATACACTGATATGTTCTATCATTTGAAGGTCTAAAAAAGGCATCGTCGAAAGAATGTAAATTACGCTGATGATCATCAATTAAAGGTCTAAAAAGAGGGGTCGTCTAGAGCAGAGTATAATCACGTGAGCGTAGGCCAATCAAATCATAGAATTTGATGATCGCAGAACAAGAAACCCCACAAAATACGAAAAACGGTAGTCTAAACCTACCTCGGGTAGGTCCAAACTTAGCCATAATATGAGATAGCCCTAATATGAGATGGCCCTAACCCTAAAGTTAATTCAATAAAATATATTATAAAGAATCTACTCCGCTTTAGACGTCTCCTAAAGAAAAAGCATCTTTTTGATTATTGGCTGTGATCTGGAAGAACATAAATTGCATTAATGCACGCCATCATTTGAAGGTCTCTTTTTGATATCGGCTATTATCTGGAAGAACACTATCGATTATGACCGGAAGAATATAAATTACACCAATATCTGTCGTCATTTGAAGGTCTAAAAAAGCATTTATGTAACATTTTATTCTTTGTAACCGATTTGAAAAATAATTAGAATGCTGTACTATATACATGCCTTTGTAAATTAATATTTTTGTGGTTTGTACAATTTAATTCAAAAACGACAAGTTTTGACGTCAAATATCTCCAAATATACTAATACTTATGCTTATTATTACATAATTTATCAAGTAATTAATTGGCTTTTTGTGACTGCACCACCAATCCATTAATTGGGTTCAAATAACTGGGTTTATAAACGAATCTCCTTTCAATCATAAACCAAATTAACACAAATAAATAATTAAAACGAAGCTATAAAAGGTTGCAGAGTTCTAAAAATATACTCACGAGTTAAATAACGAAAAAGAACCAGTATCCAAATACAGCTCACCTTTGTTTAATATAATATTTTCGAGTCAAGTATTTTCGAGCCTATAGGTGTAGTAGGAACTTCATTATAGCGTGAATATGTTTGTTTTCTTGTATTTATGTTATGCGTCATTTCTCAATTTACGTCGATTATTAATTGACGCATGTCATTTTTCAATTGAAAAATGACATACGTTGTTTTTCAATCGGTATGAATTTTGCGGATTAAAAAAAAAATTGCCAGAAATATGATATTTATTTATATTAAATATTTAAATGCTAATTTGATTACATTTGACCGAACATATCAAATTAATCTAATATATTAATATTTTATTAATAAAACTAACAATTTTTGCATTGTTCACGTAAAACGCATCCACAGCGTCTTGAGCATAATGAATTATTTTTTCTACAAGAGCACGACTTTGTGCTGCAATTAGTTTTTCGGCAATGGCAAGAGTCTGGACGAGGTTTTTGGCTTGAACCAATATTTCCATTATTTGTATCATTACTTCAATTAAAATTTATATGAGCGTTAGTAAAATTTTATCAAATTTTAAAAAAAAATTTTAATTATTTACTTTAAAAATGTATGAGTTAATCATTCTTGAATTGAGCATTCATAAGTTGGATGTTCTTGGGTTGAGTGATCTTGAGTTGGGCGTTCTTGGGTTGAGTGATCTTGAGTTGGTTGTTGAACATTGTGAGTTTGACATTCTTGAGTATTACGAATTGGACATGTAATATTTTGCTTGGCAGCTGCCTGCCTTAATGAAAGTGTAGTATTAAAGAAACAACATCAAGATCTGGATAATCAGAAGTAGTGAGTGGTTCAAGTTCATTTGCAAGATACCACCGGTCAATTATTCCAAATTTGCATGCAATTTGGTAAGAATCTTGATTCGGGTTTTTTTGAAGAACTTTACATGGTAATGATCTTCTATCCATCTTTAATTTGTCTATATTTGGGATGCAAATTTTTACAAATTTGCCTGGTTCATATGAGTGATTTCTTTTGTTTCTATACTTTGCTTCCATTGTACTTCTGATAAATTCTCGATTCCTTTTAACATTTAATTTTGCTACTTGACGAACAATTTTGTGTTTTTCATGTATTGGACGAGTTGAATTTGTAATATTATGCAATAGTATTCATAACTAAAAAAAAAAATTTTAATAATCATAATATAATCAATGAATATTTTTATAAAAATAAAATAAAAAAATAAAATATTACATTATCATCTCTGTTTATTTTCTGAGATTCTTGTTGCCATTTTTCTTGATAAGTATAAGGTTCTTGAGATTCTTGTCGCCATTTTTCTTTATCTTGATAGGTATAGGATTTATTTGATTCGGTATCACTAATTTCAATAATTTCCTGAGCTTGGATTTATGAACTTGCAGTAGCATTATTATCGTTATCTGAAATATTTATTATTTCAGAACTATAGTGGTTAAGACTAGTTAAATCTTCTAAATTAGAAGGAATATAGTGTTCAAAGCTAGTTAAATCTTCTAAAATAGGATTACGCTGATTAAAGCTAGTTAAATCTTCTAAATTAAGACTATATCAATTAAAGTTATCTAATTTAGAACTATACTCAAAACTAGTTGAACTTTCTAAATTAGGACTATACTGATTTGAACTTTCTAAACTAAGACTATATTGATCTGAATTACATGTAAAATAATTAGAGCTATCTGAATTAGAACGGCTAAAATTTTGATCTTCCAAATTTGGATTATAATTAATTTCTAGATCCTCTGAAAAAGGTACTTTATTATGATTATTATTATTAATTTCTTGATCCTGCTCTTCATTATTATTAATTTCCAAATCCTGCTCTTCATTATCATCATTACTATTTTGTAAAATTTCTGCTGTATTATGTTCGTTATGAGACAATTGACCAAATACCAAATTGTAAGGTGTTGTTTTATGGGCTGAGCAATACTGATTGTTTATGACCCCTGTATATTAAAACATTAAAATAATTAAAGAAATATATATATAAAATAAAATAAATAATAAACTTACATATTACAGATTTGAGACCTATATTCCAATCTGATCTACCTGTCTCCTCCATCCAAGCACCCAATTTTGTTTGTAAGATGTCATTTCCTTTTTCAACAAGTCCTTGACATTGCGGATTTCGTGGTCTTCCATGAACTATTTTAATTGTTGGCCAGAAACTTAGCATTTCCTTAAAAGCATTCCCAACATACTCTCCTCCATTGTCTGTATGCAAAATTGCAGGAGGTCCATATACAAAACAAAAGTTAAGAAACGTTGTAGCTGCTTCTTCAGCTACTTTGGACTGTGCGGGTTCAGCATATGAAAAACGAGTAAAATGGTCCCGAATATGAAATATATACTTGTATTCACCATCAGGAATTGGAGTCATGTTGATAGTATCAAACTAATAATATAAACGAATTATTATTATTATTATTATTATTATTATTATTATTATTATTATTATTATTATTATTATTATTATTATTATTATTA